CATTATAAATAATTATATGTGTGGGACCTGGGCTACTTTTAATGGAAATAAAGGATCCAAGGCTCCAATTTAATATGTTTTAATAGTTTTAGTGAATATAATTTTGAATTTGTAGTACAAGAAAATGTTTAATTGAATTATTATTAACATAACAGCGTCGTTTCGTCTTTTATATGCAACCGTCTTGTTTCACATCTTCTTTTCGACTCCTCTCATCGTTCGACTTCATCTATTCTTCATGAATGTGGTGAATTTGGTGGGCTGTTGGCACTACGTTTCCAGACCCATTCCCACATATTAGCCATCCTACACAGCATTCGCCCCGAATGCTGCCAAGTCATCGTCGTTGTCATATTGGATCGAAGTCCAGGGTTTTATGTACTCGGCACAAGTACTTGTTTGTCTTGGACTTTGTCTTTGCTCTTTACTTTTGTGATCTGGTATGGACCCAAGTACTTTGGCTTTAACTTTAGTCTACCACCAACTTAGCAGGTTGGCGTCGTAAGTTGTAAGTCTTTAAAATCTGTTCCTTGGCCTTCTTACGAAGCTCGTCTCGACCATCGTTAAACATTTGGATCATCTCGTCTTGTATCATTTGTTGAATGTTCAAATCGGACTTTGTGCGCATCTTTCTACCGATAAGCAATTCGAATGGCGTCTTTGGAGTGCTTCTGCAGAATGTAGAATTGATCGTTTATTTATATATTCGTATATCGTATATTTTCGCCTTCACAGTACTGCTTAAATTCGTCAGACATAAATGCAGAGCCTCGATAAGAAATGATTTGCAATGGACTTCCGAAGATCATACTTTGAGCATATAGACGTGTTGTTACCTCTTTGGCAGACGTTCTTTTGGTCGGATACAACCAGCAAAACTTAGTAAAACGATGACTGCAAATATATGCTTATACTGCTTGTGTGTGGATTCGAGTGGTCTCAAAAAATCAATATGGTAAGTCATGAGCGGTTCTTCATCTTTTGAAAGAGGATGAAGTTCACCTTCCTTTTTTCCTTGCTTGCGTTTCGTCGACTCATGGAATATAGAATTCTTTTGCCAGTATTTCTTTTGTCTTTTTGACAGAAAAGTGTCCTCTCTCGTGTGCTTGTTTGATAATTTCGTGTTGCATTCCTAAGGGAATCTACCAACTTATGTAAAAGTCCAGATTTCATGAAGTAATTGTTGTGTGTCGTCTTTTTTTTTGAGGATACCAATAATGGCTTTTAGCTCGTCATCGTTTAATTGGACACATTTAAGTTGCGATATCTGCTTAGGCCATCGGCGTGACGTATGCGTGTGCCTGATCTGTGTTCCACATCATAATCGAATTCCTCGAGAAGTAGAGTCCATCGGGCAACTCTTGTCGGCAATAGGTTCCTTTTTTTTTCTTGGCGAAAGCATTACAATAGTCACCAGTTTGAGATGCATTCCCAGAAGATATACTCGAAACTTGTTCAAGGTCACAATAACAGCCAAAATGTCTAAATTGTAGCTAGACAATTTTTTATCGACGTCTGTAGTCTTCTTACTCATGTAGTAAACCGAATGTAGATAGCCGTCATCGGGTGACTTTTGTAGGAGGACTGCGCCATACCCTTCAATTGATGCGTCGGTGTGAAGCTCTATCTCATGCTGTTGATGAAAAATCTTTAAAACTGATTTTTCGGTTATTATTTTCTTCAACTTTTGGATTGCGAACAGAGCATTTTCTTCGATTTTGAATATTACGTCTTGTTTAGTTAAATCTGTTAGTGGTTTAGCGATCGTAGCAAAATTGGGAATTAATTTTCGGAAATACCCAACTAGACCCAAAAATGATTGTAGCTGCTTCAAATTACATGGTATCATAAAGTTCGTTACGGCCTTAGTCTTTTCAGGAGATGGATTTATTTTTTGGTTCTCGATGACATGTCCCAAAAATTCAATCTTTGACTTTAAAAACTGGTATTTCTTTAGGTTAATCATGAGTCCATATTCTGAACAACGTTGATTGACTTCTGTTAGGTTTGATACCGCTTCGTCTTCATTTTTTGCAGGGATAATAACGTCATCGATGTGTGGTAATGCTATTCCTTTTCTAGCTAAATCTCGGAATATAGCATTGATATGACGTTGGAAAACACTTGAAGAATTTGACAAACCGAATAGAACTTTGGCCATTGTGTGTAACAAACGAAGTATATTTGCGGCTATCTTTCTCTACGTGAATATGAAAACAAGTAAAAAAGCTAAAGTCGGGTGTCCCGACTTTGAAATACTCTGTACATATGCTTACAATAATTATAGAAAATAAAAAAAATTAAGAAAATAAAAAAAAAATTTGATCGATTTTACCTCTCTCGGTATTTGAACTCACGTAAAGGGTGTATAATTGCACATTTACATAGCAATTGCGTCTGTGTGAGTGTATGTATGCCTATGCGCATCAATTCGTGTCTGTGTAAGCATTTTCGCAGTCAACCAAACAGCAACATCAACAACAGCCGCGGGCAGCGCTTGAGCAGCGCTGCATCAGCAAATATATTTATGGCTATAACTTCTTGTTAAATCGGTCTATCATAATGAAATTTGGCATACGGACACATAATAACTAACTGGTATGGGCTGCGTTTTGCTACAAAGGAAAGAGTCCAATCTTTTTTATATCCACAAAATATCGAAATGGTTTTTTTATACTCTGTACATGAAATGTACAAGAGTATATTAGGTTTGCGGGAGCTGAAAAATGTAACAGGCAGAAGGAGGCGTGGCAGACCCCACAAAGTATATATATTCTTGATCAGCATGACGAGACGAGTCGATCTAGCCCTGTCTGTCTGTCCGTCCGTCCGTATGAACACCTGGATCTCAGAGACTATAAGAGATAGATAGATAGAGACACCAAATTTTGCGCAAAGATGCGTTATGTGTGTATTCTATCCGAGTTTGTTTTATTTTTTTTTCCCCCCACTTCCCCCCTATGGCGGTTTTCCCGATTTTCCATTCGTATAATCGCCTATATCTCGGAGACCATAAGACCTAGGAACACCAAATTTTAGTCCAAGGTGCCTTGTGTGAATACGCAGAAAATGTATATTTTGGGATTTCCCTCCCTCCCCCCTCTCCCAATCAAATGCGATTTTCTCTAACTCCCGTAATTCTTGGAATTTCGACCTAAAATTTTGCAAATACCCCCAGTTAGTAATTATGTGTCCGTATGCCAAGTTTCACTATGATAGACCGATTTACCAAGAAGTTATAGCCATAAATATATTTGCTGCTCCAGCGCTGCTGCAGAGCTGCCCAAGCGCTGCCCGCGGCTGTTGTTGATGTTGCTGTTTGGTTGACTGCGAAAATGCTTACACCGAAACGAATAGATGCGCATAGGCATACATACACTCACACAGACGCAATTGCTATGTAAATTTGCAATTATACACCCTTTACGTGAGTTCAAATACCGAGAGAGGTAAAATCGATCAAATTTTTTTTTTATTTTCTTAATTTTTTTTATTTTCTATAATTATTGTAAGCATATGTACAGAGTATTTCAAAGTCGGGACACCTGACTTTAGCTTATTATACCCTGTACCCAAAGGGTACAAGGGTATATTAGTTGTGTGCGAGTGCACATGGAACACACAGAAGGAGGCTTGGTAGACCCCACAAAGTATATATATTCTTGATCAGCATGACAAGCCGAGTCGATCTAGCCCTGTCTGTCTGTCTGTCCGTCTGTCCGTCCGTATGAACACCTGGATCTCAGAGACTATAAGAGATAGATAGATAGAGACACCAAATTTTGCACGAAGATGCGTTATGTGTGTATTCTATACGAGTTTGTTTTATTTTTTTGATTTTCCCCCCCACTTCCCCCCTATGGGGGTTTTCCCGATTTTCCATTCGTATAATCGCCTATATCTCGGAGACTATAAGACCTAGGAACACCAAATTTTAGTCCCAGATGCCTTATGTGAATACGCAGAAAATGTATATTTTGGAAAAATTTTGCAAATACCCCCAGTTAGTAATTATGTGTCCGTATGCCAAGTTTCACTATGATAGACCGATTTACCAAGAAGTTATAGCCATAAATATATTTGCTGCTGCAGCGCTGCTCAAGCGCTGCCCGCGGCTGTTGTTGATGTTGCTGTTTGGTTGACTGCGAAAATGCTTACACAGACACGAATAGATGCGCATAGGCATACATACACTCACACAGATGCAATTGCTATGTAAATGTGCAATTATACACCCTTTACGTGAGTTCGAATACCGAGAGAGGTAAAATCGATCCAATTTTTTTTTATTTTTTTTTTTATTTTCTATAATTATTGTAAACATATGTACAGAGTATTTCAAAGTCGGGACACCCGACTTTAGCTTTTTTACTTGTTTTTTTTAGCAATTTCAACATTTTTGGAACCGCTTTCATGCATTCCAATGATTAATCCTTGCTCATACTCCGAAAGGCTATTCAGTCTAATACACCAACAATTAAAGAAATGCATTTTATAACATATATGTATACTCACGTTTAAATTGAGAATAAAATTCTTGTAATTAAACCTTTTAAAACCAATTAACGAAGCGGAGCAGCGAGCGAATTGTAAAGGACACATATAAATATTTATAACCAAATGCCAAAGGGGTGCGTACTTTTTCAGCTAACGGTAAGCCAAATATGCAGAGAACAAGGAAATGATAGTTGTGTATACATAAGAAGAGATAAACAAAACAGACTGCATTCTCAAAAATAAAGTGCCGTTACCTAATACGCAGAATACAGCAAAAATAGTTTGTCACATATAATTCTTTTACTGACGTATTAGTAAAATCGATTGTATCCCTAATATAATTAGAGGTAAGAAAGCAGTATGTAACTTTAGTAACTCGGATCATATTCCAAAAATAGAATATGGCATCATGGCATATCATACTTGATGGCATCATCATACTTAATGAATTCAGATGAACTGTAAGCTGGAAGGACCCCAAGAATAACTTGGAGGGTACCTACCTAATGCATTTCTGGAACGCCTCCGTCCTCGTTAATGAGACCCAATTCATCCCAGGGGTGCCTACAGTGGGGGGGAAAATCAAAAAAATAAAACAAACTCGTATAGAATACACACATAACGCATCTTTGTGGAAAATTTGGTGTCTCTATCTCTTATAGTCTCTGAGATCCAGGTGTTCATACGGACAGACGGACAGACAGACAGGGCTAGATCGACTCGTCTCGTCATGCTGATCAAGAATATATACACTTTGTGGGGTCTGCGACGCCTCTTTCTGCCTGTTACATTTTCAGCTCCCGCAAACCTAATATACTGTTGTACATTTTATGTACAGAGTATAAAAACAGACTTGACCTGCCTAGGGCTCAGGGGAATCTGGATTCAGGTTTCCTTTTGTGCCCCAACATTTTTTTTTACAGGAAAACCCATATTTGAGGCCCCAAGAAAAACTTCAAAAAACCAAGTATGCAGTTTTTCTTGGAATTCTGTGAGTATACAAACTGAGTTTGAAGTTAATCAGATGTAAATTGTAGATGTGTGTAGATGTGCGGTTATCTACGTATGGTTGAAAAAGTAAAGAGAAACATGCATGCATATGTACATACATATGTATGTATGTATGCCTGTGTACGTACATCTATATATATAAAACAGTTTGTCCTGACTGACTGACTGACTGACTGACTGAATGATTGGTGATCAACGCACAGCCCAAACGGTAAAGGCTAGGAAGCTGAAATTTGGACTCAAGTATCCTTTCATAGTCTAGGTCCCCACTAAGAAGGGATTTTGGAAAACTCCAAAGGGGGGAAAACAGGCTCCAACGTGTGTATGAAAAATCTACAGTTTTCATCTGATTAACTTTAAACTTAGTTTGTATACTCCAATTCCAATTCCAAGAAAAACTGTATACTTGGTTTTTTGATATTTTTTTTGGAGCCTAAAATATGGGAGTTTTCCTGTAAAAAAAAATGTTGGGGCACAAAAGCAAACCGCGTCAACAGCCCACAGCCCAAACGGTAAAAGCTAGGATGCTGAAATTTGGGCTCAAGTATCCTATCATGGTGTAGATGCGCACTAAGAAGGGATTTTGGAAAATTCGAGCTCCAAAGGGGGGAAACGAGCTCCAAAGTGTTTTTGAAAAATCCGCATTTTTCAACCGATCGACTTAAAACTTAGTTTCTAAAATCAATTAAAGGATACAAACAAAACTGCATACTCGGATTTTCGAAATTTGTGTTGGAGCTTGAATTATTGGGGTTTTAATATTTATTCACTATTTCAAATGAAAAGTTTTTGTTATAAATTTAGTCCGATCGATTTAAAATTTGGATAATGTAATCTACGTAACTAAATCTACAACTTTGCATTCAAGGATTTTCAAAATATGTATTTTACAAAAGCAGGCAGAACAAACAATACAAAATATCAAACAGTTGGGGACAACTAAGTATACATACACACACATACAAACAGCTGTTCGTGTAGTTGCGTGCAAACGATTGAAATAGCCAAAGCAACATGTGAGACACTAATGTGTGAATGTCCATACATATGTGCACATCTGTGTATGTACATATGTATCTACATATGTATGTATGTACATTCGTCTTGCACTGACAGAGCAAGAAATGTTAATTAATTGAAAATTATATAACATTTTTAAAAGTAATTTTTTCTTTGTTTAGTGCATTTGGCATTAGTGTTTTCATTAATAACTTTATGCAGCAACAACAAATATCAAATAGTTGGGGACATCACATACACACACTCACACACAACAAGCAACAGTTCGTGTCTATGTGTGCGGTTCTCTACGTACGGTTGAAAAAGTAAAGAGAAACATATGTACATATGTACATATGTATGTATGCCTGTGTATGAATATAGCATGTACATATGTACATTCGTATTAATGTATACATTGGGCAATCGAACACAGTTGTTTGATTGTAAAAAAAATAATGCTCTAAAAACAACAACAACTGCAAGTCATTAGCTCGCTCTTCTTCTTTCATTTTGACCATTTAATGTTAATTGCAAAGGCAAAACGCCAAAATGTTACAGTTACCGTCGCTAGGCAACGACTGCGTAAGCGATAGTAAAGCAGAAACCGAATAACGGAGCTACGCATATTCTGCTTCGCATTGCGGGCAGATGTATGTATGTATATGATTTGTTCTTATTGATGTCAATAAATAATTAGATTTTTTTATTTAAATATTCTGCTTATTGCATTCAAACTTCGATATTTTGATGGTATCGGTGCCAGTGCTTTTTGATCGTGGCTCATCGCTGCACGGCATTGACACGAGTGCCGTGTTTCATATTCCGAGTTTGTGCGTGGCCGTATTGACTCAATATGGCACGAAAAGACTCAAATGTGAATTTAAATTTGGACTCAAGTATCGTTTCATAGTATCCATCATAGTGTAGGAGCACACTAAGAAAGGCTTTTGGAAAATTCTAGCTCCAACGGGGGGAAAACGAGCTTTAAAAAATATTAGTTATAGTGGTCATGTTCGTTTAACGAAATAGTTTGTCAAGAACAAAAATGTAACGGACTACTGAACAATTTTTTGTCAGAAAATGTTCATTTAAATACCTTAAATGCCTTCCTACTGGTAACCTTTAAGGTGAAAACATATGGGTAGGTTATGCACACACAAAATAAATACAATTGGAAACATATTGAGCCGGGTTAAGACGGGCAATACCTGCTAGTTATAAATATTTTTTATAGAGATACCTTAAATTTTTTATAGAGATACCTTAAACAAATCTAGCAGTTTTGTCTTTTTCAGAAGTTTTTAGAAAATAGGTGCACTATATCACATACATAGCTGACATAGTAAATAAAATATTGTATTTTATTTATTTATTATTAGTTCTTAGTGCGACACGAAAATAAAATATCCTTAGGTAATAGAATTAAAAGTGATCTGATTAGCCTACTTAACCTATATACATACATATATGTATATGATAAATACGAAAACCAGGCTTAGTACCAAAAACTATTGTTTAATTCCATATCAAAAAAAATATTTGTATTAAAACGAAGAAGGAAGGATTAATATAAGAGAGAGAGAGAGAGAGAGAGAGAGATTAATACATCAGAGTATGTCAGAGTCGAACATCCAATATTTGAACGCTCAACTCATTTTTGCTTGCTGTCGTCTTCTTTCTAGCCTAATATATAATACTGTGTAATTTATGAATTTATGTAACTATGTTCATTTGTACAGCAGAAATCGAAACATTTTTCAATTGTCAAGAATGATTGCCTTTCCAAAAACAATTAAACGTACCGCCGGCACAACAACAAACAAGAAAACTGTCAAACAAATTTTGTTCATTTTATAAATGAAAACATTCCAAATAATATGAATAAATCGTTAGCTTTGTAGACAGTTAATTCAAGGCCTACTTTCATTCACATTTGTAAGGATATATTATGTAAACTCTAATAATGTATTCCAGTTAATATAAATAATTTTTTCTTATTAAACAAGAATTGTTCGGAGCCGCTATGGAGTGTTCCTCACACCCCATTGGTGTGTTTTATTGACACAATGGATAAGCGGGCTCATCTAGCTGTCCTGTTCAGTATTCCAATTTTACAGTAGTTGACCCGAACAGGTTTTGCATAAACATACTTATGTACATATAGTATTTAATTGATGTTCACACACTTCAAAGTTGGAGAGAAAATATAAGATGTATGAAAGTTAAAGAGAGGATAAAAGATGACATGTTATAAAAGTTCTAAAATTGTTAAATTCCATTTCGCTTTAATGGGGTGTATAGATAAGGTACTGAGAGGAATACAACAGGCATCTATGTGCAAAAAATGTGTTTCCTCTAGCTATTATAGTCTCTAAGATCTAGGTGTTCATACGGACAGACGTGGGAACAGATAGACCTTATCATGCTGTCTGCCTGCCTCCTTTGGCCTGTTACATTTTTCACTTTGTACCAAACCTAATATACTCCTGTACCTTTCAGGTAGAACTAGTCCTATTTCTTACTCAAATACTTTATACGCTCTCCAGTTGAGTGTTACATGCACCGACATGATTGAGACCTGCTTAGCAATGTAATTTGACTATTAGAAGTGTTCATCTGAGAGCGAGCTGCCAAAGTGTTAGTAATATTTTCCTATCCAACTGAACTAGTTCAAACTCAAATACTTTATACGCTCTCCCGTTGAGTGTTACATGCACCGACTTGATTGAGACCTGCTGAGCAATATAATTTGACAATTATAAGTGTTCATCTGAGAGCGAGTTGCCAATATGTTAGCAATATTTTCCTATCCAACTGAACACAAATATCGATTTACCCCAAAAATTACAAAGGGAAACTCGAAAAGACCGCGAGTTGGTTTTTTATTTTTTTTCCGAAGCGAAGCGGTGACAGTTGGCGCCAACCAATCCATCAATTTTCGTAGCGCCAATTGTGCCTGTTGCTCGTATAGCATGTATGTACATTCGTATGTATGTATGTATGTATACACTAGCAGGTATTGCCCGTCTTAACCCGGCTCAATATAATGTTTCCAATTGTATTTATTTTGTGTGTGCATAACCTACCCATATGTTTTCACCTTATAAGTTACCAGTAGGAAGGCATTTAAGGTATTTAAATGAACATTTTCTGTTCTTGACAAAAAATTGTTCAGTAGTCCGTTACATTTTTGTTCTTGACTAGTACATTAATTTATAAGAAATCTTCTTGTCGTACTGGGAATTAATAAACAAACAAACAAAAAAAAAAAACAAAAAAAAAAAAAAAAACTATTTCGTTAAACGAACATGACCATTATAACTAATATTTTTTAAAGCTCGTTTTCCCCCCTTTGGAGCTAGAAATTTCCAAAAGCCTTTCTTAGTGTGCTCCTACACTATGATGGATACTATGAAAGGATACTTGAGTCCAAATTTCATCTTTTACCGTTGGGGCTGTGCGTTGATCACCAATTAGTCAGGACAAACTGTTTTATATATAGAGATAACGCAACGTTTTAAGATAGACTACTTGTATGTGCAAAAAAGGGGAATAAT